CTGCAAAATGACCAGTCACCATAAAATAAATTAGTTCTTTCATGTAACAAATCGCAGCAAAGCCTAGCTAGTAGCTGCACAGAAAAGAATACTCAGGCTTAAAATTCTCGTTCTTTCTTCCCCATAGTTTTCCTCTGACTCCCGGTCAAACTGAAGCCTCATATACTTCTGCACAAACATCTGCATTGGGCACCCGGGAGACACGTAATTCTTTTAACATGTGGTTCACACTTCTCACTCATATGTGTGCTGGTCATTTTCGCACAAAAAACTCCCTTAAAATAATGCTTCGCCCATTTCTTCCGAATCTCAAACAGTTGTGTCATGTATGGGTGTTCCCTCAGCTTGTATTTATCCAGCAACATTTCCCACCCTTCTCAAGTTCATCCTCCGTGAGCATACGGTTCACCACCTTATGAAATTTAGTTGTAAAGTCGCTTTTCTTTGTATACAAACGACCCAATGACTCCTTCGCTTTCTTCAAGACATGCCACTCGTTGCGTCCGGCATGATCTTCTTAATAGCTAGCTCCCTGGCACAATTTTTTGTCTGCATGATTGATAGACACATAATTTCCAGGATTAATACTATGGACCATATCACATAAAATTTCTTTAACTATCCATCATTCTAAGGAATTCTGAGAATACCCACTCAAAATTTTCTTGTGTCTCATCACGAACCAGCACACCAGCGAGGATCACACTCTGATAATGATTGTTAACTCCGTCCAACAAATAGGCCGAAAGGCATGTCGTACAGGTTGGTCCTATACGTGGTATTGAATTTTATGACATCTCCGAAGGAGTACTGAAGCTTGCTGCTCCCACTTGCCCACATCAGACTCTTAATCCTCCCCTCACTGTCAGCCTGAATCCTATATGTAAATGGGGTTCTTTTGCTCCAATCTCTGAGAAAACATCCATTGTCTTCCTCACATCATCATCTGCGTGGTCCCTATTGATCCCCCCGGTTACGCAAAGGCTTTCTCCTGAACCGAACATTTCCCATTGAGCCAAAAAAAGCCTCCAATGGTACAGTATACCTTAGCAAGATTCACATTGTTCTGCCTTAGCTGCTTCACAAGATCCCTGGTGTACACATCTATGTGCTTGTGTGATGGCAAATGGATTGTCTCGCCAAAATTAGGAGAAAGCGAGTGGTTGTGATTCTCTCCGTGTTCTGCAATATACCACCCATTGTCCTCTAATCATAGGAGCCTTATCAAAGCCGGGCATTCGCAGCGATAAGACCTCATGTTCTCAACACCAGCTTTGCCGTACATAATTGTTCAAAAACTTCAGTCAGTTGAAACATTCACACCACTGAGGAGATTATGTGAATCGGCAAGCACACTTTTATACTCACCGAGCAACCACACACTATTTACTGCTTGCATTTCGTCCTCTCGAGATTCAGCCGGCTCTTCGCATATCGGATGCTGAAGCCTTTCTCTCATGAAGCAAATTATAGAAGTCATAAGCCCCACCCAAAGAGTCAAAAGTAGCGCCAATCACTGGTGTGATCACATTCTCAGCTGGGTTGTCGGCATAACTCCTAATAGCCTTCTCAAAAGCGCTGACACGATATGGGGCAGGGTGTTCTGCTCGGTGCGGCAGCCCCAATTCTCAGCCTGCAAAACACATCCTCCACATATTAACTGCCTGGATTTCAGTAAGCATCATTTTCCTTAGATGAAATGCCTCATGGGGCACTAAGCATGATTCCCTGAATATCACTACAAAATCACTAGTTCTTCTCATGTCAATGGCCTGGGTTCAGTAACTTCACATATTAAACTTACAAAATTCACATATTAACTCCCTCAAATCAGCAATCAACAATTTTATCATATGAAGAGACTGGGTTCAGCAAAGATGGTTCTGCTTCCTGACTGCAACATCACTAGTTGTTCTAATGGCAGGATTTATTCAATTCCAACTATAATGTAAATCTCTGGTATACTGACTGAAATACAAATCCAACACTAACCTCTAGTTCCAACCAGGAGATTCATCTTCATAGTTGACAGCTCCGACGCTGGAGGTGAATTATCCCTCTTGCACACCAGGGCTTCATTGGCGGCGAAAACCTGAGCGTCCGTGCTGTCAACCGCTCCTGGCCGCTCAGCCACTTGCTGCTCTTCCACCGTACCATCTCCCCTCAGACAAGGCAGCACAGCGTCCGGCATCAAGCAATCTCCTAGTTCCTCAAGGACAGTGGATCTGACCGCCATACTCGGCTCCTCCAGCATACCGCATCCCGTCGGCGCCCTCGCCACAGGGGACGGCACCAAGCTCTCTCCTACTTCTTCAATGACACTGGATCTGATTCAAGCCAAAACCAAATCCTTTTGGTCACCAAAGCCATGCGAGTAAGATTTGCTGTGAATCCGTCGCGCAAGCAAAGATCTACATACCTGCCGAATGGCTGAGTCAAAAACTCCATGCCGGATCGCCGCCGCCGTCTCTGCTTTTCTCTCCGCTCGAGACCCCTGTTAAGAACACTCTGGATCCTGCCTGTCCCCACCAGACGGAAAAGCAAACTTCCAGGGCCACGGATCAGATGAGGACGTGCGATTCTGATCCATGTCCCACCTCCACTAGGACGAACGGACGTCCAACTCCACGTTAACTCTGGCCCACCACCAAGCTCTGCTGCGTATGTATTTATCTGCAGTGTGCATTTTCTTAGCACCCCTCCAACGCCGGAATAAACAATTGGCTTAAATCCTGATGCGCTATTGAACGTGCACGATAACGAGCGCATTTGAGCTCGCGCTCAATTACTCCGCGTCCCATGACCTTACAATTTGTCATGGCCTGAAAGCGAGATATGTCAACATCATTCTTTACTTGAAGAAAGAATTCCATCATCCTTCACTTGAAAGCATGTCAGTAACGCAATGTCGGCTCGTCCATGGGTGATGAAAGATTCTGACGGGTGGCTGGCGCTGTGTGTCTCTCGTGCGTGAAGCCTGCTCGTCGGTGCTCTTGGGCTCACTATTAGTTCTGAAATGAGCTACTAATGGGCCAATAGACCGTAGGTTGATATTTCTGTGATATACATATTGTGTGTGTGTGTGTGTGTGTGTGTGTGTGTGTGTGTGTGTGTGTGTGTACAATTTTTTCTACAAAAAATTGGGTGTAGATGTATGTCAATGACCCATGGTGGATCTGCCAGTGATTGCAGCACATTGATGAACAAAACCCCAAATTTGACAAACCATACACACGAAGCTTTAAAAAGAGACCAACAGAAGTACAAATTTCGAAGAAGTGACCGACGAAAGTACAAACTTCGAAGAAAATGCGGCATCGCAAGTGCATGTCTACTTTTACTCATCAATCATATTCAAGTTGTTCCAATCTATTATTGACCTCCCACCGTTTTAATCTCATTTATATTTCAATCGTTGTTATTTGTTTCAGAACAGTTGTATTTTATTTTATTTTATTTGCAGGAAGAATTGTTATGGTTTGAATTATAATTTGTACCCTGATTTTTTTCCATCAGGCCGAAGTAGCTGCAGAGTGCATTATTATCTCCACTAGCTTTGTTTCTTATTGTCATTATTTATTTTGGCCCAATCAAAGCTTCAAAAGTTTATGTTGACCACTGCGTACAGTGTTGTTTTCTGAATAGAATGACAGGGAAGGCTTCCCCACCACGTAAACTGATCGTAGTAGGCCCGGAGAAATTGGCGAGCCAATGGTGGGATTAAGAGGTTACCTCGACCCCACAAATGGCGCTGTCATGGCGGTTGCCGTCGTCTTTGAAGTGCTAGCCATAGCCGCCCGCGCCACTAGTCCACTAGAGTAGAACAGAGTGCCGAGCCAACTTCGCCCAAGAGCCAAGAAGCTTCCGCTGAAGATGGAGCTGCAGCGGCGAGCGATGGCTCAGACCCACCGGTTCCTGCTCCTCTTCCATGCCGCCGTCCTGGCCGGGCTCGCCTCCGCCTCCGCGTCGCCCTCCGTGTCCGTGTCTGGTCCGTGTGTGCTCCGGTGCTCCCAAGTCCCAAGTACTGGGCAGTTCTAGTATTTTGCTTCTTGAAGCGGATTGTGATGGGCTTGTTCTGTTTTGTCGGTGTTTGAGCAGACAGCGTATTCCAGGCCAGCACCGGATCGACATCGACGGGGAGGAGGAGCTTGCTGCAGACCAAGAGGGGTACGTGGTGTCACCTCTTCTTCTTTCTAAGTTTAATCCACGGCGGTTTAGGGATAGGTGCGAGGATGGATGGAGGGATTTGGTCTGATTCTAGTGATGCTAGACAGAATTTGGTTGGAAGTGATGGTGTTGGATAGCACTTCAGTGTTACCTGAATTTGGTTGGAGAAGACGGCGGCTTGGATTTATTTCGGCGTATGCCTGCTTGACGAACCGAGATGTTCTGCAAGCAGCTGCATTTGATGGTGCAGTGCACGCACTGAAGATACTTAATTCACATGCTTGTTAACTGAATATAGCCTCTTGCTTGTGCCCATCGGCCATTCACATGCTTCTGCCCATCTGCAATTCACATGCTGTCAACTGAATATAGCCTCTTGTTAATTTGAGCCCATATGCGGTTAGGATTGACAGGGCCTGTGTAGAGTTCCTGGGCTTATAAAAACAGATTTCAATGGTGAACTACCAATGGAAATTACAGAGTATCGTTCAGTAGTACTCCCTCCGTACAGAATTACTTGTCACAAAAATGGATGTATCTACAACTAAAATACATCTAGATACATTCATTTCTTGGACGAGTAATTTCGAACGGAGGGAGTACATCAGTAGGAAACTTGGACATCAGATGGCTATAAGTAGGAAACTTGGATTCTGTATGTCCGGATAGCTATCATGCAAATGTGCACCCTTTTTTAGATAGTATACTTCTCACCATGTTCAGGACTTCCCAGTACCTTCATCTGATACGCATCCGTTTATTTTTGTCCATGCTTATCAGACTGCCCTATGAGCTTCGAGACCCAGAACTACACGATCCTCACAAACAAGTGCAAAGGGCCACAATACCCTCCTACTAAATGTTGTGAAGCTTTCAAGGAATTTGCATGCCCATTTGCCGCGTACATCAACAACCAGAGCACTAACTGTGCAGACACAATGTTAACCTACATCAACGTCCATGGCTCGTACCCGGCAGCCCTATTCGCCGACGAGTGCCTCAAAGGCAAGGAAGGGGTTTCTTGCGAAGGCATCCCAGAGATAGGCACCGGCGTGCCAAGTGGTGGGCGACGAGCTCAAGGGAGTTCGCCACATCCTTTGGTCGCTCTCTTGTGTGGAATAGGAGCATTGCTGTTCCATTGAGTGACACCTTGCAGTTCTACAAAGATGGTGTGAATTTCAGGTGTAAGTTGTAAGTAGTATCTACCAACGATTAGGATTCATTTGCATCTCCTTGACGCTCTCTTGATGTTAATTGTGATTGGACATTGGCTTCATACTTGACAGTAGATGTTCTATTGCTGTAGTATGCCCTTTTGTTATAGAACAACATGACATCTTGACATTCAACATTAGATGATCAGTTGATCACATCTTTCTATTGGCAGAGTGCACACCCAAATTATAAATCATGAAATTGAAGATCAACTGATTATTTTACAGTTAAAGTGATAATCGTGTGTTCATCCGCTACTGCATTGCCATGTTCTTGTATTTATATGTACTGCCTTTTGGATACGTTTTCCCCGTTCCAGGTAGTACTTCAATTGAGATTGCGTCTTAGAGCATTTTCAGCCGTGCCCTTCACACATAAGCGCAACATGTTCAGAACATTCTTTTGACAAAAAGGCAGGATTGCTGCTTTTCATTGCGCTTAGAAGGAATAAAGGTTTACAAATTAAACGTGAAGTACAGGGGATGGGGTGGTTTAGATCATATAGTTACATCAATCTGGTTCTAAGGGTCGCTCTACGATGTGCACAAGCCGTCTATGACCAGCTTTAATCCAATCCTTGGCCTCCACCTGAATTTTCAGAAATAATGGTCTTGGCAACAGGAAGAATTTCTAAGAACTCTGGCATTCCCTTCTTTCCATATGTTCCACCACTCCAGAGAGATAATGGATTTCCACGATTTAGCCTGTTCCTTGGCCATTGCAAACCAGGGATTCACCATAGATGGCAATCAAACTCTTATGCATGCCCAGCTTTAGTAATGTATAATATGTATCCAAATATTCGGTGGCAATTCTCTTCCTTTAGTCAGCTTGCGGCCAGCACTGGCTCCTAATTTTTCCTGGCTCCGTCACTGTTTAGAGCATCTCCAACATGCGTGCACCGTGCGGTGCGTTAAAAAAGCATTTACAACGCCTTCATAGCCAGTTTTTGCACGCCGCGGAGCGCTGGCTCCAGCGACCGCTGCAAAAAATTGCGCGCGCGCGCCGCTCCAGCAGAGGTGCTATATTTGTTTACTACTCGTCGTCTTCTCCGTCTACTCCAATTCGATACACATTCGACTCTAGCTCGATACTCATAGATAGGCATACATAGATAGATAAACGATAGATAATAACGATACATAGATAGTTCATAGCATAGATAGATAAAAAAAAGATAGTTCAACTACTACTCCTCGTCCTCCTCCTCCGACTCTGAATCTGCCTCGGTGATGTCCTCCTCCGACATCTCAATGAAGGCGTCAAGATACCGATCGTCGTCGGAGTCCCAGGACGACGCTGCTCCTAGGTCGATGTTGAATTGAGCGGCCGCCTTCCACGTATGCATGTCCTCGCGATAGGCGGCTCGCTCCTCCCTCCTCTCCTCCCTCTCCGCCCTCCTTTGCGCGAAGAACTGATGCTCGTTGATGACGTCCAGCGGTAAGCGTTGGCGCCACAGCTACTTGGCTTCCTCGTCCATCTCGGCGAGGCCGAGACGGCGCTCCCTCCTCCGGTTGTCGCGACAATCCACGTCGGTGATAAGCCGCGGGGGAGGCGCGAGCTCCTGCCCCAGCTCCCGCGTCAACACTTTGGGGAAGTTCATTTCCCTACGAGGCCGCCGGAGGCGCCACGCCGCCACATCGTACTCGCGGGCGGCCTCGTGGACGGTGTCGAAAGTGCCGAGGCCGAGGCGCATCACGCCGGACCGGATCTCGACGGAGAAGGCGCTGGAGAGGCGCCCGCAGACGCCGCGGTAGCCCGAAACTCCCCGGCAGCGGTGAGGCGAGAAACAGTGGGGAGAAAGCGGCAGAGGGCGCGTGGCGAGGTGGAAAGCGGTGGGAGGGCATGTGGCGGCGCTGCATTTATAAAGCGCGCCGGACACCGCGCGCCAAAACTAGCGCGCGCCCTGCCGCTTTTTCGTGCGCGCCTGAGTTTCTCGCGCCCGCTGGAGCGCGCGAAACCGCCCCGCGCGCCAACACCCACTTTTACCCGCGCGCGTTTTTTACAGCCATTGTTGAAGATGCTTAGATGTGAGAGATGTGATATAGTCAGACCGTTTGTTGTAAGTGTACACGGCGCATCGGACCGAAGGAACCCGACGCGACCGCGTCGTCCCACTTCACCATGCACTGAGCCATCCTCCGTGTGCATCCGCCGTGGCCCAGCCACGCTCGCGGCCGTAGCAGACACGCGCCCCCTGCCACATATCTCAAGCCTTGCCTTCACCGCGCTTCTGCTGCTGCCGCACGCCGCGCCTCCTATGCCTGTCGTCCTCAGCGGCGAGTCCCGGGACCGTCCGATCCAATGCTGGTCAGCTCGTGGTGGCGGGATCCAGATGGCGGTGAGCCCAGGCTGCCGGATCGGCCTCCCACATGAGATCAGATCGTAGATGCAAGATGACTCTTCTGATAGCATGGATCTCCTCCTAGTGGGTAGATTGATTGAATACTCACCCAACGGCAGCGGCACACAGCGCCTCGGCGTCCGAGCTCCTCCAATGGCGAAGATGACGGTGCAACGCCATTAAAAAAAATAGCGCGCTATAGTGTTGCTAATAGCACGCTATAGCGTATTGAGAATTGTCTCGCTAAATATATCGGTGTACAATGTTCTCGCTAATAGCATATTTTAAGGTCGTCGCTATTTTGCTGTAGCGCGCTATTTTTTTCGTTGCACCTAGCTCACCTCTCCGCTCTGTCGAGGCACTCCCCAGCCAACCTCTACATCCGTCGACAACAGACCGGCGCGTGGAATTGACACGTATCACCCAACACTCACCAAAAAGGCCCACAAAACTCTCAGCTCACACCAGACCCAGATCACAGAAACATACGACTCGGTCAAAATCGAAGGCACAGGGCCAATCGGTGCTTGAATCGCTCCAGGGCGATTTTTCCCAGGGAGCTTAGTGATACAGGAGATGATTGATCAAAGCTCAAGAAATGTATTGATCTAACGTACACACATTGCAATCAAGTACATAAGTAAAGATGAATAGCCAGCTACTTAGCGAAAGTAGTTTTCTGCTCAAGAGTTCAAATGCACCCGTGATGAACAGTAAATCCAAAAAAATAAAAGAAATCAAAATAATCAAAGTTTTTTAAACAAACATTGAAGAATTGTCTGTGTATCTGCACATATTCGAGAAGAAAATCATATGTACTGACAGTACTGTTAGGGGGGAAACAAAATCAATGCTCCAAAAATGCTTTCAAGAGTAGTCTTTTTGAAGCATCGGTTTTTTGCCCAGAGCATTTAGGATTTTTTTTTCTACATGAAAACTTGTACGTATATAGACAATTCGTCAATGTTTGTTGCCAAAATGTTTCTTTTTTTACTATTTTTTAAAAGGTTTACTATTCAGGACGGCTCATTTGAATTCGTCAATGTTTGTTGCCAAAATGTTTCTTTTTTTTTACTATTTTTAAAAAAGTTTACTATTCAGGACGGCTCATTTGAATTCGCGACCAGAAATACCTTGTCTGCCACGTAGCTAGCTTAGTGATAATAGTAGCAATATTTAATACTCTGAATCTACAAAGCAAGGATATAAGATGTGATGTGTTTTCTCTTTAGATTTTTTGAAAAGAGACGATTTATTACTTAAAAGGTTTAAGCATTACACCTGGCCTCTGCATAACTAAATTGCATACGGACAAACAAACTCCTCTCGCATAAACAAAAAATAATAAAGTGAAATACAAAGAAACATGTAGAGTCTGTATAACACCTAAAACGGAGGTGGACCAATCCTAAGATTATGTTGCCACCCATGTAGGGTAAAAGTATCACTTGCCGTATCCTCCAATCATGCATACACCTTCATAAACAAGTCTCGATTATCCACATGTTATAAAGAGGACCATAAACGAAGAGTCCCGGTACATTTGTAAATAACCTACATGAGAGAAGTACTTTATCGTTAAGAATCTTATCATTTCGACATAGCCAAAGCGACCAATTAACGACAAGCGCTCCCACCCTAAGAAGAGTTCTAAACATGTGATCTATCACATGTAACCGGCTGCCAAATACATAAGCAACACTATGAGGATACAAGCCAGAATCTATCTAGATGACTGACCATATAAAACGGGCCAATTTGCATTGGAGGAATAAATGTTTTATTGTCTCATCATGGTTACAAAAGACACATTGCGAACTTCCATGCCAATTTCTCTTAATAAGGCTGTCTTTAGTAAGAATGGCTCCACGACGAAGATACCGCGCAAAGATTTTATTCTTAACAGGTATCTTCATCTTTCAGATATTTTTGTTATTATCAACTGGCACATAGACTGGATTACAATTGCACAGTGGACAATTGTTGGAGCAGGATGTACCACGATTCGAGTCTGGGTCCAATTAAATCTCTTCTGATTCACATTTGGCAGAAATGATTGCATTACCGTGGCGATAGTATCACCCTTGTGACACACATTGTTGTAAAGAACCAGATATTGTTTCTGGAATGTGGCATTTCCTAGCCATTTGTCCTCCCATAATCTAATTTCTAAGTCGGCTTTAATCCACAAGGATCCATAAGTGAAGCAATATTTCTTCGTAGCTATTAGACCTGCCCAAAAGTGAGAATCCCCAAGCTTCCAATATAGTTGGGATACCACCTTGGAACCCATATTTCCCCCTCAAGAGGGTTTGCCATACACCGTCTTTCGTCAATAATTTAAACAACCATTTGTCGAGGAGGGCCCTATTCTTAATCTCAAGGTCATGAATGCCCAACCCGCTTTGGCCTTTGGGATGGCAAACCACACTCCATTTAGCTAGTCAATATTTATTTCTCTCGCTATCTCCTTGCCAAAAGAATCTTGATCAGAAATACTCCAATCTATGTAAAAACTTCTTTCGGCAATTGCAGGATGGAAATCATATATAGTACCATGTTACTTAGTACTGAATTTATGAG